TAAATATTTTTTAAATTTAATATCAATTTTAATAATTAAAATTTTCATCATAATTGCATTTGTGACTATTTTTTTTGTCACTCAATTGTAACATTTGTAATGAAAATTATTGTAACAAAAAATATTTTTTTGTGATAAATAAAATTGTTATAAATAACTTGTTGATAATGTCAATTTTTTTTATCAATATAAGATTATTTTCTGTGACATGTGCCTAATTTGTCACTAAGAGCATTAATGACAAAAATTTTATTAATGGCTTAAATTTTATCACTCATAATAATTTATGATGAAAAATAAAGATTTAATGATCAATAATTTAATAACTAAATGTGAATTTTCTTATAGTGTTTCTAAACTAAAATAAAATTAGACTAATAGTTTAATAGATCAATTATTGAATTAAGTCACCATGTTAAGACTACTCAAGTTTATTTAATTTAATTAATAAAAATATCTAATAATTAATAAAATAATTAATAGATAGTTGAATTCGTAAAATATAAATTTAAGAAAATATGTTTTATATTTTTTGATGTTTGATACACATAAAAAATATGGTTAACGGAAAAGCATTTTAGTCAACGGAAAATCACACGGTATGGTTTTCCGGAAAACAACTTCCAAATTCTTATTGCGGAAGTAGCACACGAAGCCTTTTAACCCTTTGTTTGGGTAGCTTCACAAGATCTAGTTGACACAAGTTGACCAGCATAGGGACCTGCAAAACAGACCCGAGGGTTTTCCTTCGGGATAGACACTCCAACGCCCAAGTTAGCAATATTCTATACTTGGGGCTCTCTTTAGAAAGAGAAATATAATAGAGAGGGAAGAGCTCTCAAAAAAGTTCCTTACCTTTGAGGGGTGTGGGAGTATTTATAGATCCCTTGGAAGTGTTTTATACATGTTGCACTTCTATTGGTCCATTTGAATCCATTTCAATGTATATGAGCTCCATTGTGACTCATGGATGTACTCATTTATATTTGGGCTTTATGGGCCTTTATTTCATTTATGGGCTAGTTAGATTACTATCCCAACATTACTCCCCCTCCAGTGATTTGTAAACTTGCTGAAAAATCACAAGGGTTTAGCTTTTTGCTTTTATAGGTTGTAGAGGGGTTTGATTTATTCTTGAGGAATCTGGCTTGGAAACCTTGATTTGAGATTTCCAACCTATAAGCTGAGAGTGACGACCTGAAACCAGGGAGCTCAGATTGACAACCTGGAATTGGGAAACTGAGAAAGTTGAGAGTGAAAACCTGGAACCAGGAAGCTAAGAGCGACGACCTGGAACCAGGAAGCTGAGAGTGACAGCCTAAAAAACCAGGAAGCTAAGGAATGACGACCTGAAACCAGGAAGTTTAGAGTGACGACTAGGAACTAGGAAACTGAGAAAGCTGATAGTGACAACCTGGAACTAAGAAGTTGAGAGCGACGACCTGGAACTAGGAAGCTAAGAGTGACAACTTGGAACCGGGAAATTGAGAAAGCTGAGAGTGACAACCTGAAACCAAGAAGCTGAGAGCGACGACCCGGCACAAGGAAGCTTAGAGTGACGACCTAAAAAACCAAGAAGCTGAGGAATGACGACCTGGAACCAGGAAGTTTAGAGTGACGACCAAGAACCAGGAAGCTAAGGAGTGACAACCAGGAACCAAGAAGCTGAGGAATGAAGACCTGGAACCATGAAGTTGAGAGTGACGACCAGGAACTAGGAAGTTAAGGAGTGACGACCTGAAAACCAGGAAGCTGAGGTATAACGACCTGGAACCAGGAAATTAATGAGTGACGACCTGGAAACCAGGAAGCTGAGGTATTACAACCTGGAATCAGGAAACTGAGGTATTACGACATGGAACCAGGAAACTGATGAGTGATGACCTGGGAAACCAGGAAGCTAAGGTATTACGACCTAGAACCAGGAAACTGATGAGTGACGATCTGGAAAACCAAGAAGCTGAGGTATTATGACCTCACTACAAGCAGATGAATCTATAGTGACGGAAATTTTTCGTCTGTATACACCCTTTTTCCGTCTGTATACACCCCAAAGACTATTCCGACGGAAGAGCTTTCCGTGGGTAGAAACCTCGTCAGTATAGGGTCTATACCAACGCCCAATCCGTCTGTATAGACCCTTGGATCTATTCTGATGGAAGATTTGTCCGTTGGTATAGACCCTAAGAAATCTTAAGAATTTTTCTGTCTGTATAGACCTATACATTTACTGATGGCTAATTCCGTTGGTATAGACCCTAAAAATTAAAAAAAAAATTTACCATGGATATAAACCTTTATCTTTACAGACTAACTGTGTTCTGATATGGTTGAACCAAAAAAAAAAAAAAATCTATGTTCTGATGCGTGTAATGCATGCCTAAACCTAACATTACTTTAACTAATTGACAATGAAGCTGGACAGTAATCAGCTGGGTGGATGCAAAAGATGTAGATGCAAAAAATTTGATAACTAATTTTAAGCTAACAAGTATATGCCAATCATCAAAGTGAATAAAGAAAATTCTATGTTACTTATATTAGCTCCAAGACATTTAAAAAAGAAGAAGAAAAAGAAAAGATCAACAAAACTTATCATTCAACTAGCTATGGCTATCACACTTAGAAAATACCCAAACAATTCTTTTACCATCCACCCTATCATAAAGTACAAGCTTCTTACCCTACAGTTCTTCCATGGAGGATGCCATACAAGATGTGGCCATTTGCTTGGAACTCTTTCAATTATTGCAGAGGTTGTTAGCCTGTTAAATAACAGATAACAGAAAATCTCAAGATAGAATTCTATGTTTCCAGATATAATTATCATGGCATAACAGAACAAGTACTAGAAAGCTCCACTAATTCCCAATCAATTATAAAGTAGGTGATAAGATAAAACAAGGCCAAAGCATAAACGCATAATGTAGATTTTGTAAAATATCCCTTTTATAATACAATTTCCCTTCTCATGTCTTAGCTAAACTAAAATGGACCAATCAGATGGGCTATAATGGCATTCGCACATACATCCAGAGTTAGAAGGATGCTGTTATGTGCTTTTAAAGCTTCCTATAATATTAGAAGTGGCAGTAAGAATACAAGAAAGCTATACAAATTGCAGAAGATTTATGATTAACCATAGATCTTGCCTTGTGCATACAGACAACTTGCAGTGTGTCTTCCAAGATCTTTTCATGGTATTCCAACTCGCATGATGATTTGATGCAGCCAGGACTTTTTACAAAGTACCTTCAAAAGGATATTTACATTAGGACAAGTTTAAGATTGTAATATTAGGAAAACTTATTATTCTGATATGGAAGTCATAAAGAAGCACTTGATAGCTTCAGCCATTTTTGCTCTGAATCGAGTGAAGAATAATAGGGGTTAGGCACTTTCGTTGGTATTTTCCCTGCTTTGTTGTATGGATAAGGAAACCATTTGCATCCACCCTTTGTTTAGAAGATACAAAGTGCAGGATTACAAAATGATTTAAGACGCAAAAAAGAAATGCATTTCTTATTACAAAATGGGAAAGTGCAAACCAAAAATAAAAAATAAAAGAGAAGGAAACATAGTTGAACGGTTCATATACATTTCTGAAGGATGAAGATCACAAAAAGAACTCAGAAAGGACTTACTGCAACCAAAGAAAAATAGGAATGTATAACAAAAATGTACCTTTTTTCATCACACTGCCGTTTCATGTCCTGCATTATCCCACCCCCAAAAAAAAGAAAAAAGAAAAGAGAAAAAAGAGAGAACGACCATTCATAAAGCCACTCATGTAACCATATTCTGTCAAGACTCAAGAAGTAAGATGGCATGCATTGAAACTGAAGAACATATATCTTCCAGAGTGCATTAACAGTCATGCAAGGCTAATGATACCCAAAGATAAAACTCGCATAAATAAAGTAGCATAAAGTGAGCTCATGATCAATGATAATTACAATGATTGTAATAATGGTGATATGCATAACAATGAAAATAGCACTACCAGTAACAAAAACAAAACTGAACAGAAGAATCTACAAGAACAAACTGCACTTTCCCTAACATTAACAAAACTTTACCTGCAGAAAAATGCAGCGTCATTACAGCTCACCCATATTCCATTGATATCAACCCAAACCGACATCACCATATAATGGGCAAGGAAATTTTTTACCCACCCACCTGTAACAAATTCTAAAAGCTTGAGATTTGACCCACCCACCTGTAACAAATGACTGTTGTAGGGTTCAAGGTTTCTCATTGCAATAAATCAAAAACCCATTGCAAGGAAATTCACCCACAAGTTTCTGGGTCAGATAGCAAAGCTGTTTTTTCGAGAAGACAAGAACCCATTTCTCGCAATGATTCTGAGAATTCTACAAATGCATAAACAATCAAAAGGTAGACTTTTTTAATGTTAGGCCATATAAAGCATTGACATCACTTTTGGCTGGAAAAGGAAAGTGGAAAACCTACCCGCAGACAATGCAATGAAAAATTAAATGCTACCAACAGATAAAAAAAAAAAAGGGTATAGAATATAGAAGCCACAAAATTAAAAGGGGAAAAAAATGTCCAAACAATGAATTTGATCATGAAGCATATTATTTATACCATATGCACAGTTTGCTGTCACAGCAGCAGCAGAAAGCAAGCTATCATAGCAATTTCTCATGTCTTGAATGTTCTGCAAAAGATATAAAAAAGAAAGAACAGAAAATATACTCTTTGTAAGAGAAAATCTACAAGGATAGCCACAGAAAGTATGGATCAGAAACGTATTAGTTTACCATTACAAATCCTGGTTAAAGTAATCTAACATATCCCAAATATTGATCCAGATTTAACAATTGGTAAATTAAACTCTGGAAAAAACCTAAATTGATGATCATGCAGAACATCAAAGCTCAAAAAAAAAAAAAAAAACCTTCCACATTCCAGTACAATGTTCAAGACTTTGAAAACCTAAAAATTAATCAACTCCTTTCACCCATAACCTCCTGATTCATTGCAATGAGAAACCTTGAACCCTACAACAGTCATATGTTATGTCATTGAAAATTATAACATATGATTTGTTACCTGAGAAATGAGAAACCTTCAGCAGTCATTTGTTATTGATTTATTGCAATGACATAACATATAAATAACAAACAAACACTGATTTGGACAACTTCTTCTTTAAGAAAAATGGGATTGCTAATTTGAAACTCACCCTGATTCAACAATCAATGGGTATGTGGGACACAAGCATAAAAGGACTAAGCTTGTGACTCTCTGTTAGCAACTCCAAGAGATACCTGTCAATGAAGAAAAAAAAAGAGTAAGAAAATCAGATATAAGTTTGACCTACTTACAAACATCATCAAAACAGAAAATTACCCAGACCAGTTGAATTTACTGACATCTCAGCTATAGAAATTAAATTTTCTAATAAGACACACATGTGTGTACCTCAGCGTCAATGTAATCCATCCAATTCCATTCTATTTAAACTAGCAGAATTTAATGAGAATCTTAAAATTTTACTTAAAAGCCAAAAGGCATCCATAGCCAAGATTCAAAGAATAAGCTCAGAAATGGCAGAATTAGATAACCATAATATAAGATTCCGTCTTATATTGCTTCATTTCTATAAAAAAAAAAAGAAGAAGAAGTTAAAAGCTATTTAAAACTCTTTGCAGATAACTACCTTTAACACAAGAAAAAAAAAGCTGCAAAACTTGCAAATCAACACTTGAAATTTCAGCACTTGCACCCGTCAGTACAATCGCAACAAGAACAGACACACACCAAGACCAAAACCAAAACAAAAACCAAGTAAACGAAAATAAAAATTGGATCTGGCAATAGATCTACACTGATACAATTATCAACAAACAAAGTTGAACTGGTTGAGCAGTATCATACTACTAACCATTGAAACCCTCTGTCGTTGATGGAGAAGAGACAGCAAGTGGGGCTGCGGTCGGCTGCAAGAAACCCTCTGTCGTTGACGGAGAGGAGAGAGCAAGCGGGGCTGCGGTTCGCTGCGAGAAACCCTCTGTCATTGACGGAGAGGAGAGAACAAGCGAGGCTCCGGGTAGCTGCGAGAAACCCTCTGTCATTGACGGAGTGGAGAAAGCAAGCGGGGTTGCGGTCGAATGGGTTTTTGAATTTTGGGTTTTTGAGTTCAAATGGGTTCGAATGAATTTTGGAGATTTGGGAGAGGGGCGGAAACATTTAGGTCTACCAGAGAGGGAAGCTTGAAAATTAGGGAGGAACAAGTTTAAATTTCCAATTAACATAATCCATTTTATCAAAATTCACATACCATTAGTGCTTCTTTGCAGAGATTTGGATAAAATGTGACAGAACCTCTTCTACCCTAGAAAACACACAATACCAAATGGGCCTATTAGCAACAACAATCAATCGAAGGCATGAAATTCAACAAAATTATTCACTAGTGCATCAAAATCTAAACAAATTAAGTTAAACCTTTTCTTTCCTCAAAAAGAGTGAGATTTCTGGCCAGGGAACAAATGATTAGAGCAACCTCCACATCACATAGAGTTGAAAGTTGATATGCTTTCTTGACAAGGCCACTTCTCCTTTTGGCAAAGGTTATGTGTTTGTATGCTTTGTTCTCAATTTTCTTCAACTGCAACATGACCCTAACCATTTTCTTCTCTTTTCTGCCTTAGTATAACCTTGGGTTTTAACCCTTCATAGAACTCAATCACTCTTTAGAAAATAAGGCACTTTTATAAAATGCAAATAAAAAACCAAGCCAAAACATATTTCTTATTTGTTTTTTTAAGTCAGAAAGTACTATGAATTTTCTCATCTAAATAATGTAAAGGGTTATGAATTCTCTAATTTTTAGTTTTTGATAAAAGAGAGGATGAGAGAAAATTTCAATTAAAATAACAGAAGGTGTTGATAACATAAACCATATTCATAAAAAGAGGGGGGAAAAATCAATGCATATAATTCAAGCATAACCAAACAACTTAAGTCAGCCACCATATGATTTCAGCATAGTTTCTATTGTAGCAAACCAAGCACACCTTTTTTCTAAATCATGAGATGAGATTAACCCCAAGAATAATTACAGTAAACACTAATTTAAACCCAGAATAGGAATATATTTTTGAGACCTTTTAAAAAATTCTTCCTCCATAGAAGAGATATAAAAGCAAATGTACTTATTGTGAATTTAAAAGTTTCCATAAAATTTATGCAGAAGCAATCAATACATAATAAGCAAATTAACAATTTCATTTCTCTACATATATACAAAAAAAAAAAAAATTGCATTGGAAAAATACCAGTCTATCACCTATTGAATTTTTGGAGCAAATTCTTCAACCTGGAAACAGATGAACGAAGATCAAAGAAAAATGGAGCAAATCCACGAAAATAGAGGAAGAAATACAAGAAATAATAGAAACCTCGTTTAGGGCGAGTGAAATTTGAGCTATTTTGGGTGAGAAATTGGAAGGCAGCAAGGAGGATGAAAGAAAGAAAAAGAAGAATCAAAGGAGTATTGACTAACCTTCTTCTTCTCTCAGTAATGCCACTGCCTCTTTGCCACCAGATCCTCAACAGAAGCCTCCTTTTCACTTAGCCAAGTAACATGCCACTGCCTCTCCTCCGTTGGAAACCTCCTAACATCAAATCAAATCAAAATTACAGGAGAACCCAAAGCTTGGCATAAAATTAGAGATACATTTACAAATCTCAAAAACCCTATAGAAACAGAGAGAGAGAGGCGACGGTACCATGGATGACGAACAGGAGAGAGCAAGCGGGCCTGCAGTCGGTTGCGAGCAATCCTCTGTCGTTGATGGATTAGAGTGGAGGAAACGAATTTTGCAGCTGGGTTCGAATGGGTTTTGAGTTTTAGCAAAATCAATTACAAATTTTGTAGATTTGCTGGGAGGGTAGGTCAAAAATTGGGGAGGGAAGCTCGGGAATACGGGAGGGAAATTGGGGGTGCGCGGTGGGAAGGGAAAGTAGGGCAGGCTGAAATTAGAAAGAAAAAATTAAGTGTTAAAGAAATAGGGGGCTATACCGACAGAACATTAATCCGTTTATATAGATATATTTATATAGACATATAATAATTACTGTTAGTATAGATATATTGTATACAGACGGATAATCACTAAACCGTCTGTATAAACCAAGTCTATACAAACAGATGTATTTTTCCGTTGGTATAAACATGTGTATACTAACGGCTGAAGTTTTCCGTTGGTATATATAATTTATACAGACGGATTTTTTATCCGTTGGTATAGAGTTCCGTTGGTATAGAGTTCTGTTGGTATATGGCATTTTTCTTGTAGTGCCTGGAACCAAGAAACTGATGAGTGACGACCTAGAAAACTAGGAAGCTGAGGAAAGACGACCTGAAACCAAGAAACTGAGAAAGTTAAGAGTGACTACTTGGAACCAGGAAGCTGAGAGTGACGACCTGGCACCAGAGAGCTCAGAGTGATGACTTGAAAAACCAAGAAGCTGAGGAATGACGACCTGGAACCAGGAAGTTCAAAGTGACGACCAGGAACCAAGAAGCTAAAAAGTGACGACCTGGAAACCAGGAAGCTGAGGGTGATGACCCAGAAGATATTTCTCAGGTCTTCATGCATGAACTTGATGTCATGAGGGATAGAAAAAAATGTCGTCCTGGAACTTGACGACCTAAAAGTGATGACCCAAAGATATTTCTCAGGTCTTCATGCATGAACTTGATGTCATGAGGGATAGCAAAGAATGTTGTCCTGGAACTTGATGACTTGAAAGTGATGACCCGAAGATATTTCTCAGGTCTTCATGCATGAACTTGATGTCATGAGGGATAGCAAAGAATGTCGCCCTGGAACTTGACAACCTGAAAGTGATGACCCAAAGATATTTCTCATGGGCCATAATGTAGAACCCAAATATATGAAGATCACACTCTGTAGAGCTAAGATCCAAATGAGCTCTTGTAAAGATGATAGATTGAATGCCAACTTGGCAGCTGAAGATGTCTACCTTGAGATCCCTCCTTGGGATGTTTAAATGAAAATCTTAGCCTCTCAAGTCACAACATAGAAATCAAACCCTTTGAGGGTTGTGCTCCATAGAGTTATGATTGAATGAGTTTTCATAGACAAATGAGTTGAAAAGCTGAGAACCTGAGAAGCTAACAACTGATGGGCCTAAGCACTTGTAAAGCAAACAGGCTGAAAAGCCAATAGCTAATGGATGAACAATGTTAACTCCTCCTTGCCTTAACTTAGGAGCAAATGATGGAGAAAGAATCTAGCCACTCATAAATAAAGCTGGAGAAGGAATTTACTTGATCATTTTTAGGAGCTTTGAGCTTTGTGAGTGGAGCATTTCAGCTCAAATTTTCTATTGAAGCTCGCCCATGTTGGGTTTCAACTCATAATTCTTCATAGGAGTTTACCCATGTAGGGTCTCAGCTTGTTCTGTGAGGTTGTAATTTTTTGCTGGACCTATCAGGTCAGAGTATTCAGGATTATCTGGAGCTAACCCATTTAGGATTTCAGCTTGTAATTTTGTGAGAGCCTACCCATGTAGGGTCTTAGTTGTAATTCTTTGTGGGAGTCCACTCATGTAAGGTCTTAGCTCGTAATTCTTTATCTAAGCTTTCTCAGCTCGTCGTTCTTCATTAGATGTTGTCAGCTTGTCATTCTCTTTGGAGCTTTGCAAGCTCATAAATCTTTGTTTGCACTATGTCAACTCGTAATTCTTCGTTGGAGTTGTGTGAGCTTGTAATTCTTTGTTGGAGTTGTGTGAGCTTGTAATTCTTTGTTAGAGCTCTGTCAACTCGTCATTCTTTATTGGAGCTTTATGAGCTCATCATTCTTCATTGGAGCTCTATGAGCTCGTCGTTCTTCATCAGAGCTTTGTGAGCTCATCATTCTTCATCGGAGCTTTGTGAGCTCGTCATTCTTTGTGGGGAGCTTTGTGAGCTTATCATTCTTCATTGGAGTTCTGTGAGCTCATCATTCTTTGTTGGAGCTTTGTGAGCTCATCATTCTTCATTGGAGTTCTGTGAGCTCGTCGTTCTTTGTTGAAGCTTTGTGAGCTCATCATTCTTCATCAAAGCTCTGTGAGCTCAACATTCTTTGTTGGAGCTTTGTCAGCTCATCATTCTTCATTGGATCTCTATGAGCTCGTCATTCTTTGTTGGAGCTTTGTCAGCTTGTCACTCTTCATTGAAGCTCTGTGAGCTCATCATTCTATGTTGGAGCTTTGTCAGCTCATCATGCTTTGTTGGAGCTTTGTCAGCTCGTCATGCTTTGTTGGAGCTTTGTCAGCTTGTCATTCTCTATTGGAGCTTTGTCAGCTCGTCATGCTCTGTTGAAGCTTTGTCAGCTCGTCCATGCAGGGTCTCAGCTCATAATTCTTTTTGAAAGGCTCACCAAATAAAGATTTGGATCTTGCCTAACCCGAGTGGAGATTTAGCTCTTGCACAACCCTGCTCATTTATTGTTGGGGCCTTCAAGTGGTAGATAAAAATTTGATGTAAGAGCTCACCAAATGGAGATTTGGATCTTGCTCAGCCCTGCTCATCTATTGATGAGGTCTTAGGGCAGTAGATAAAACTCTGATGTGAGAGCTCACCAAATGGAGATTTGGATATTGCTCGGCCCTGCCCATCTATTGACAAGGTCTTTGGGCGCCAGGTAAAACACTAATGTAAGAGCTCACCAAATGGAGATTTGGATCTTGCTCGGCCCTGCTCATCTATTGACGAGGTCTTAAGGCAATAGATAAAACTCTGATGTAAGAGCTCACCAAATGGAGATTTGGATCTTGCTTAACCCTGCTCATTTATTGACGAGGTCTTAGGGCAAGCTCAAATTATTCATGCCTTTATTCTTCTAACTTTAATGTAGAATGTAGAACTCCCTTTGTTCCTCCCCCTTCTTGTTTGAATTTATTCAGAGAAGCTTCTGACTTTTTGATAGCAAACTATTTGTGGGGAGCTTCATATATGTTGATTAGGCCAACATAATTAACTTGTTCCCTGCACTTTTCCATCTCTAAAAGAGCAATATATATATATTTATAATCATGAGTGGAAATGGGCAAAGTAACCTGATTATGATATATAAAAAATCATATGGCAAAATAATATTGTGAATGCAAAAACAAGTGCAGAATGAATGGAAAGAATGTGGAATAAATGCAAAAAATGAAGGAAGCAATTAATAATAAATTTTAATATAAGGTTGGACCAAACTTGGACCAAAGCTCTAGTTTGCTATGGAGCTTGATCGCTTTCTTGACAACCTGTATCACAAGGACTTGAAAAAAGGGAAAATCAAAGGCATCCAAACTTATAATCAAGAAAGTATACTATATAAAATAAATAAATAAAAGAAACAGATTGCAAGTTCATCTCTTTTTTAATTTCAAAACAATACATGACTGATGAACTAAATTTATATACATATAAATGTAAAATTTATGCCTCGATATTATTGATGTTTGGATAAGTTTTATGAAAATTTGCTTAATTTTACATAAGTTTCATGCTTTGTGCTAGAAAGGACTTAATTGGAAGAAGTTACAATCCTTAGGAGTAAATTGCAAAGATATGAAATTTGAGGATTAAATTGTGCAGAATCCATAAGTAAGGGATCGGGACTGTAATTTTACTGTTAACAGAATTTGTAGAGAAAGACAAAAACCCGACACGGACTCTTCGTCACTGATGCAAAAAAGGTGTCAACACATTGTTGAGGGTGTTGACCCTTTACAATTCCAGCAAGTTTGTGACCTCTTGTTATTTTGGGAGTGGGTCGAACTTGTTTTGTTGCAGCCAACAATCTTAGCTTCTTCATGACACTCCAGGCTTATGATCTCGCCCACAGCTTGTAGCAAATAGCTTGTGATCGAGCAGGATGTTTGCAACTTGTGCTTGAGCAAGATGCTTGCAGCTTGTGTTCCACATCTTGCAGCTCGTGCTCGAGTAGTGTATTTGCAGCTCGTGCTCCAACGGGGTGTTTGCAACTCGTGCTCGGCAACTTGAGCTAGGCAACTTGGCAGATATTGCTAGAGCTCTGCATCGTGCTTTTGAGCTCGGCAACTCGTGTTTTAGAACTTAGCAGCTCGCAGCTCATGCTCCAGTAGTTCACATCTCATGCTCCTACAATTCGCAGCTTGTGTTGCAGCAGGGACTTTGCAGCTCATCCTCAAGCAAGGATTTTGTAGCTTGTGCTCGAGTAGGGAGTTTGCAGCTTGTGCTTCAGCAGGGATTTTGTAGCTCGTTCTCCAGCATTTCACTACTCGTGCACTAGCGGGAAGTTCGCAGCTCATGCTCCAGCAGGGACTTTGCAGCTTGTGCTCAAGCAGGGATTTTGTAGCTCGTTCTCTAGCATTTCATTGCTCATGCACTAGCGGGAAGTTCGCAGCTAATGCTCCAACAGGGACTTTGCAACTTATCCTTGAGCAGGGATTTTGTAGCTCGTGTTTGAGCAAGAATTTCGCAGCTCATGCTCCAACAAGGATTTTGCAGCTTGTAGGTGACTATTTCGATCATCACCAACTCTGCTAATGCTTAGTGATGATTATCATCTGCCGAGATGTTTGCTGCTGGCTACCTACCCACAAGCTTTTTCTCCCCATTGAGATCGCCCTGTTTGCTAGCTTGTTTTTCTAGGAACTCTCATCTTAACTCCTTTTATTCCATTGTTCACATGGATGTGGAAGTGCCACTTCAAGCCTGCAACTTTTACCAAAAGTATGTAACACATATTTGATGTGTTTTGTTGTGAGTTGTTGAGTATCCATGTGTAAAAAAGTTTGCAAAGCTTATTTATGAACCGAATGAAATCTAGCTTCTCTTCTTGTTTCCTGTGGAGGAGGTAATTGGTGTATTGAAGGGGATTTTAATGCAGTGCGGGATAAGGAAGAAAGAAGAGGGAGATATACTGATGTTGTAGATATGAGAGGTTTCAATGACTTTATCTTGGATGCAAGCTTGGAGGAAATACCTATGGTAGGGAGGAAATTCACATGGTACAAATCAGATGGAACAGCAATGAGTAAACTTGACAGATTTTTATTCTCCACAGAATTCCTAATCAACTTCCCAAACTTGATCCAGCGAGGTCTGAGCAGAGACTTGTCAGATCACTGCCCAGTTCTAGTGAAAAGCCTGAATGCAGATTGGGGTCCAAAGCCTTTTAGAAGCCTGGACTGCTAGATGAATCATGAAGGTTTTGATGCTTTTGTTCGTGACAAGTGGAGTAGTTTTGAGATAGATGGGTGGGGTTGCTACAAACTAAAAGAAAAATTGAAGATGCTAAAAAAGGAGCTGAAAGCCTGGAATAAAGAAGTCTTTGGAGTCATTGATAGAAACATGGATGCAGCTAGAGAGGAAATAAAGCAGTTAGATGAAAAAGAGGAGAATGAAGGTCTTACAAGCATGGAGATTGATAAAAGAAAGGAGAACTTTCACAAGTTCATGGAGTGGAGCAAGGCGAAAGACAACATACTATTCCAGAAATCTAGGCAGAGATGGTTAAAAGAAGGTGATGCAAACACAAAGTTCTTCCATGGTTGCATTGTCAATAGAAGGAAGCAAAATGAAATCATAGGCCTTTATAACAATGGTGAATGGATCGAAGATGCTGATGAGGTGAAGGAATTGGCAAGAAACTACTTCAAAGATAAATTTGAAGAAGAAAAGTGGGACAGACCTTCATTGGGAGATTTGCAATTCAAGAAGATTAGTGAAGCTGAAAACAATTTTTTAATCTCCAAATTCTCTACAGAGGAGATTGATGAAGCAGTGTGGGGATGCAATGGAGCCAAAAGCCTGGGTCCAGATGGCTTTAATTTCAATTTTATCAAAAAGGTCTGGCCAGTTATTAAGGAAGATGTGTATGCTTTTTTAGCAGAATTTCATGAAAATGGAAAGCTAGTTAAAGGGAGCAACACTTCGTTCATTGTCCTGATTCGTAAAAAGGAAAATCCTCAGAGTTTTGGGGACTACAGGCCTATCTCCCTCATTGGTAGCATGTACAAAATAATCTCTAAAATTCTCGCTAATAGGCTGAGAAGGGTGATGGATTCGGTGATTAGCCCTAACCAAACAACTTTTATAGGAGAAAGACAAATTATAGATGGAATAGTCATCACCAACGAGATTATTCATGAAGCAAAGCAATCAAAGAAACCGACATTGGTGTTTAAAGCAGATTTTGAGAAGGCATATGACAGTGTAAACTGGGAGTTTTTGGATAAGATGATGGAGAAATTAGGCTTCTCAACAAAATGGCGTGCCTGGATAAAAGAATGCCTGTCCTCAGCCTCAGTGTCTTTATTGATAAATGGCAGCCCCACTAAGGAATTTATAGCATCAAAAGGATTGAGGCAGGGCGATCCTCTTGCTCCTTTTTTATTTTTAATGGTTGCAAAAGCCCTCAATGGGCTAATTACTAAAGCTGCAGAGGAGAGATTGTTCGAAGGGGTTGCAATAGGGGAGATGAAATTGAATATAACTCATCTCCAATTTGCAGATGACTCCATCTTGTTTTGTGAGGCTTCAGCTAAAAATGTATGGATGATTAAATGCATCTTAAGGAGCTTCGAATTGCTATCTAGCCTGAAAGTGAATTTCCATAAAAGTGCTTTGTATGGATTTAATGTAGGAAAGGGGGAATTATTGGCTTTAGCTGTGTCACGCCCCAGAACCCAAATCCGGGGACGTGGTAGACGCCGTGCACTCGTGAAGGGGTCCCACAAATGCACAAGGCTCGAAACTTACCGGGTTCATACTTAGCAATTCAGGTAATTCAGATCTAAGCCTTTTTAATTACCAAATATTTACCAGTCAGATGTACAAGATTTATCATTTCATATATACAGTCATGACTAGCACTAAATTCT